CCATTAACTCTTATCCCTAACTGTTCCCATTCTAGGCCTCTGAATACTTTCGTAAGCACGTGGTAAATAGCATTGATGAGATTGGATCTCCCTGCCTTACACCCTTCTTGATTAGTATTCTGTTGCTTTCTTTATGAAGAATTATAGTAGCAGTTGATCTCCTGTATATTTCTTCCAGGATGTTTATATATGCTTTGTCGACGCCCTGATTCTACAGTTTCTGCATGACTGTTGATATTTCAACTGAATCAAACGCCTTCTCGTAATCTATGAAGGCTATGTATAGTGGTTGGCTATAATCTGAGCATTTTATTACCTGATTGATATATGAATGTGATCGATTGTTGAGTAACCTGTTCTAAATCCTGCTTGTTCCTTTGGTTGATTGAATTCTAATGTTTTTTTTACTCTGTTAGCAATTAACTTTGTAAATAGCTTGTATTTTACAGAGAGCAAGCTGAACCGCCTGTTTTTTCAAGTCCTTGTCATCTCCTTTCTTATGTAATATATTCACCAATACATATTCATGCGCAAAGACCAAAGCATAGCTGCAAGATTTCTCTCTTGACACCAGATCTGGCATCCCACGCACAGTAATCCAGGAAGCGTCTGACGTACACCGTCTTACCCCTAATTAATGACACAGTCGTACCTCCCACAACCATAAAGTAGTCAAGGGAGGCGTGACTCTCCAAATAGACTTAGGAAGCCAGATGATGACCTGTGACCAAAACCAGCGAGCTGCAACGTCCAGTGCGTACCTGCACGAAGGACTTCACCCATAGTAACCAAAACGCCCTAATAAAGACGATACTCTGGGGACCTTCGACGCTAAAGTTTTTCATTGAAGTTCTTTCTTTCTAGCAAAAAAATTAGGGTCGTGACATGCTCCTGTTCATTGTTAGGAGAGCCAGCATGGGTCATAGGCCCATATTTCACTTTACTTGCTTATTAAAATTGTTCTTGAAGACAACATTAACCCACATAAAAGACGTGTCTGTCGCACAATAATACAATAAACTGAAACCTCCCTATTCTTTTTCTCTCCGCTTATTCATCACAACTGACAAGCCGACAGTACACGATAATCCTTCCTATATATCAAATAGTTAGAGAGAATTTGCATGCTATGCCTTTATTTCTGTTGCTTTGTTTTTTGTTTTGAATAAAGGCCACAAAGAAAAAGTAAATTGATGCATGGTATTTTTCTCAACCTTCTGCTGTAATTGTCGACATTTAAAAATGTTCAGCGCACTTGATGTCTTTTAATATAGTATCTTCAAACCTTCTCCACCGCCTCCCCAAATGAATAGCCTTTAGTTTCAGTTTTTATTAGGTTCTAATTATTAAAACACAAAATTGACCGCCAGTGGGTTCAGTAATAGTGAGACAAAAAAGAAGAAACGAAAAAAATCACACTTGATGAAATCACCATATGAACGTCATCATGTTTTTCCAAATCGCTTAATTTCTGATTTCAATATGTTGTGGCTATGACCCCAACGTGATGACGTCTTCACACGACATCGTGGCTTGGTCAAACTTGGGCCAATCACAGAGGCAGTGCAAAGTCACGTGAAAGGCAGAAAGCTTCGCAGGCCACCATTCCTTGAGGTTTTTGAAACCGCGTTATGTTGAAAAAGCTTTCGAAGGATGGCGGAAAAGAAACAATATACTGAACTCAGAAGAAAGAGAAGTTGGTTTTCGTCTTCGATTCATCTTTGGCGATTGCGCAAGGGACCCCATTGATGAATGAAGAAATGAAAAACTTTGTTGAGGTCGTGAAGGATTCCACCCTGTTTGAGTTTTTATTTACTCGAGTATCACCAAAGCCTTGTAAAGGCGACGACCCAACCTAGGCGAGCTCCAGTTCACCCTGGACACTGATGTACGCCTGGCTGGAGTACAGGGACCAGTAGGCGGTGTTGAATACGAGGAAGACAAACGGGAAGGCGACACGAGCGAAGCGGTCGATGCTGTCCGCCCGCTTGGCGTTCCTGTACAGCTCCTCGTACTCTTTGCTGTCGTAGTTCTCTGGATCTTCGGCCAGCTCCTCCTTTCGCGTCACAAGCTGGCAAAAGAGACATCATTACAAGCCTTCAGTCGTTCAATCATGCCAATAAAGCAGTGCATATTGTGATCACGCAACTACTTTGCATAGTCAGTTGAGAATGTTAGCATAAAAGAGTTTTTTTCTTGGGGAAATTAGAAGCAGTTAAACCGATGTGTGCAAGAGTGGTGGTTAGAAAATAAGCAAAGAAATTATAATATACTTTGTCTACGTCTTCGAAAGGGTAATTTTCGTAACATAAGAAGGAATGTTCAGAGAAGAAATAGGTAAGAGGGTAAATTATGTCAGTGAGGCCATGGCGTATCACATCGGCTACAATATATTACTGAGGTAAGTTTAGACAGTGGTTAGCCACACTTTGAATTGTCATACTGGTTCGAAAAACAGCCAGGACCAGTTAGAAAATCTTCTTTGTGGTGTAACAAGTGTTCGCAGTTTGAGTGCATTTAAATATGAAAAACGAAGTGATACGCATGAGAGTTTAATATCAGTTATTTGTATTATAGAGGTCCGCCACACTGGTGCATTGGCTACGATGTCTGGCTCAAGTTATATCCCAGCCACAGCGGCGTCGCATTTCAGTGAATGTTGAATTCTCAAAGCCCGTGTTTTGGCGATGTAGTGCGCGTTTGAGAACAGCACGCGGTGAAAAATCGCCAGAGGACTTCATGACGGCGGTTTCATAAGCACATAGTTGTTTGGGAACGTAAATATCCTGGCTGTACTACAACAACAACAACAACAACAACAACAACAACAACAACACAACAACAACAACAACAACAACAACAACACCAACAACAACAACAACAACAACAACACTACTACTACTAACTACTACTACTACTAACTACTACTACTACTACTACTACTACTACAACAACCACAACTACTACTACTACTATTACTACTACTACTACTACTACTACTACTACGACTACACTACTACTACTACTAGTAGAAGCATGTGGGAATGACTTCATGGCACTCAGAAACGTGCGTAATAGGATAATACCGCAAAAATCGGAACACCTCTATTTATTAAGCAGCGTGGGAACAATATTGCTGTTTAGTAGTGGCACTACACTAGGTATAGTGCCAGGCTTAGAGTAGCAGCCGTAGCAATGAACACAGTGGAAGAACAACGGCTTAAAGAGTTTGAGTTGCGGTAAAAATTTACTAAACTTGCAGGGGTAGCAGTAGTAAATGTAGTGCTGACTATATATATATATATATATATATATATATATATATATATATATATATATTGTTAAGGGCGTTTACTAGCCGGCAACGAGCGAGAATATAAAATGGCGACAGTCACAGCCAAGCACGGGCTCTCAGCGCGAACGGCGTCCTTGTTGGGTAGCCCCACTAGAAGGTACTCAAGAGTTCGACCCATTTCAGCGTTCGGAGGCTTTGCTACAATGACCCGGGGTCGAGAGGGAGCCGCCTGGCGACCAAAGAGCTTGTTACTATGAGCGGGTCATAGTAAGCCTTCAGGCGCTCCACGTTGACGATGTCTCGCCCACGGCGGCGCATGTCCGAAGATTGTTCAACTGTTCGATCAGATAGTTGACGGGTGAGGTGCGCTCGATGACACGGTAGGGGCCTTCGTATTTGGGGACGTAGCTTGGAAGAGAGGCCAGCTGCAGAGGTCAGGAATCGAGAGCCATACAAGCGCACCAGGAAGGAACGTGGGCTCAGAAGTGGTGGAGCCATCACGATACTCCTCTGCCGCTCTAAGCTCTTGCGTCGTAAAAGTCTTGGCAAGCTCGCGACACTCTTCAGCAAGCCTCGCTGTCTCGGAAATCGGTGTACACTCAGTTGGATCCGGCGTGTACGGGAGTATCGTGCCCATGGTGTGCGACGGGTGCCTTCCGTACAGCAAGTAGAAAGGTGAAAAACCAGTCGTGCTCTGAGGGGCGGTGTGTAGGCGTAGGTGACGAAGGGCAGTATATTATCCCAATTAGTGTGGTTGGCAGCGACGTACATAGAAGCATGTCGCCGAGGGTGCGGTTAAAGCGTTCGGTGAGGCCATTCGTCTGTGGGTGGTAAGCAGTAGTTTTGCGGTGGACAGAATGGCACTCCGTCAGAATGGCTTCGACGACTTCCGACAAGAAGACACGGCCTCGATCGCTGAGAAGCTCTTGGGGTGGTCCGTGGCGCAGTATAAATCGATGCAGCGGAAGGACGCAACATCGCGCGCAGTAGCCGCAGGGAGAGCGGCGGTTTCGGCGTATCGCGTTAAATGATCAACGGCAACGATGGCCCAGCGGTTACCAGCCGACGTCAGAGGAAGTGGTCCATACAAATCGATACCTACGCGCCCAAAGGGACGGTCAGGGCAAGGTAACGGTTGCAGACCGGGGTGCGACATGTGGGCTGACGGTTTACGGCGTTGGCAAGTGAGGCAAGAGCGAACGAACTGCTGCACATAGCGGTACATCCCGCGCCAGAAGTAGCGTTGTCGAATGCGATGGTAGTGTCTTGTATACCCCAGAGTGCGCGCATTGCGGATTCAGAATGGAAGGATTCACATATTCTGACCGCAGACTGGCGGGGTAATCACGAGTAACCACTGCCGGCCGTCGGCGTCGTAATTGCGTCGGTGTAAAGGGCCGTCACGGATGGTGAAATGGCGAGCTTGACGACGCAAGGCACGCGTGGATGGCGTTGCGGATGAATCAGAGAGCATGTCGATGAGCGGGGCCGATCCAATTATCCTTTCGCTGTTCGGTAGCGATGATGTCAACATCATGGCAGAAACAGCAGCCGAGGATACTGAGCAGAGCACATCCCCTTCAGGCAGAGGGGAGCGCGAGAGGGTGTCGGCGTCAGCATGCTGGCGTCCGTTGCGGTACAGCACGCGGATGTCGTAGTCTGTAAGCGAAGAGCCCAACGGGCGAGACGGCCTAGGGATCCTTCAACGATGGAAGCCAGCTATAGTGCATGATGGTCGGTGACGACATCGAATGGGCGACCATACAAATAAGGTCGAAACTTTGTAAGAGCCCAGACGATCGCCAGGCACTCTTTCTCCGTGACGGTGTAGTTTTTCCTCGGCTTCTCGTGAGCGTACGGCTTGCAATATACTACGACATATTCAGGGAATCCGGGTTTTCGCTGCGCCAGGACAGCGCCGAGACCTACACCGCTGGCGTCCGTGTGAACCTCCGTTGGGGCTGTAGGGTCGTAGTGGCGTAGAATGGGAGGCGACGGTCAACAAATGGCGGAGCTTCGCGAACGCGTCGTCGCACTCGGAATGACCATGAATTGAAGGGCCCGTTACTTCCAAGGAGCTTCGTCAGCGGTGATATGATCGTGGCAAAATTTCGTATGAAGCGTCGGAAGTATGAGCACAGGCCCACGAAACTACGCAGTTCTTGACAGATGCAGGTTTGGGGAATTCGGCCACGGCCTGAAGCTTGCAGGATCAGATAAGAATGCCGTCTTTAGACACGACGTACCCCAGTATGGTGAGTTGCCGTGCTGCAAAGCGGCACTTTTTCAGATTTAGTTGCAAGCCGGCATTGCTCACACGTGTGAAAACTTCTTTCAGACGTTGGAGATGCGTGGAGAAATCCGGAGCAAGACAATGACATCGTCGAGGTAACACAAGCACGTGTACCATTTCGAGTTGCGCAGAACGGTGTCCATCATGCGCTCAAAGGTCGCAGGTGCATTACATAGGACCAAACGGCATGACGTTGAACTCGTACAAGCCGTCTGGCGTGACGAAGGCGGTCCTTTCGTCGAGCGTCGTCAGCCATGGGTACTTGCCAGTACCCCAGAGCGCAGATCGAGAGAAGAAAAGAAATCGGCTCCGTGAAGGCTGTCAATCGCGTCATCGATGCGTGGCAGTGGATAAACATCCTTGCGAGTGATCTATTGAGCCGTCTGTAGTTCCACACAGAACCGCACAGAACCATCTTTCTTCGCAACAAGAACAACAGGAGACGCCCATGGACTGTCCGAGGCCGAATAACAATCGCGTCGTAGCATTCGTCAAAACCTGATCATTACTTACTCGACGTTCAGCAGGCGACCACGCGATATGGACGTTGCCGTAAAGGGTGATGGGCACCATTGTCAATGCGATGCGTAACAACGGACGTGCGACCGAGAGAACTTCGCCCGACATCGAAAGAAGAACGATATTCTTTGCAACAGGGCCAGAGTTGGGAACGCTGTACGGCCGTAAGGTTGTCAGCCGAGGAGGGGCCAATACATCTGCAGATGACGTATCAGAAGTGGAAACAGCATTGATGGTACACGACTGAGACCGTGCGTGTCATGGGTACGTCCAGGACTTGTGCGTCGTCGACTGGTTTCCACTCTGCCGAGACATTCCCTCGAGCAAGGTAACAGCATACGGGACGGGTTGTTACAAAAATAGCAGTGTTGCCCTGGTTGACCTGCACGGTCCGCCGAAGGTACTAGCAACCCTTTCCTGCTGCAAGCGCGGTCAGTGGCGAAACAAGTCCAATGGTGTCGGAGATGACCAACGCAGTAGACAGACACAGCAGTCGTCGAGTTTGGTAGGCACTGTTGTAACGTCTTTCGTTAGAATCGTGCTCATTGTCGGGGGACTGTCTTCTGTCGTCAAATGCGAAAAAGGGTGAGAGCTCAATTTCGGCGGCGGGCACAATGGATGACGGCGTCATGGCGGGAGAGAAAGTCCATCCCAGGATGACGTCATGAGAGCATGCCTGATGATGATGACACTGGCGACATACAGAACGTCCTGGATGACAACGCGAGCTGTGCACCCTGCTGTAGGATGAATGCGGTGCCAACTTGCAGTACGGAGGGATAACCCAGAAAGTGGCGTCGTCACTTTTCGAAGTAAGCGGCAGAGTTTTTCGTCCATAACTGATACGCAGCTCCAGTGTCAATAAGAGCCGATGCACAAACACCGTCCACAAGCACGTCAACTGACATTCGAGGGGCTGCTCTGAGGGCTTTCACATTGCGATAGCGTCGCAGTCCTTGCCTCGGGGGACTGCGACGACTAGTTTTCCCACTCATGAGCTGCCGCACTTGGCCCATGGGGACAGGGAACGACGTCGTGGAGACGGCGATCGTCGAGATGGGCCTTGGCGAGATCGAGGTGGCATAGACGGCGGTTCTTCGCGATAAGGACGGCTGAGTTGGCCCAGCAACAGGTGAAGAAATTGGAGCCGGCTGTACGCGATGGCAATAACGGGCCACGTGACCCGCGTAACCGCAGGCAAAGCAGATGGGCCGGTTGTCGGGTGTGCGCCATCTGTTCACCGGGGTAGGTCTCACCCATGTCGCAAGGGCTGATGGACGGAACGGTGGCTGCATGGTAGACTGAAGCTGAGGCTGAGGGGTTCCGTCAACATACGTAGCGGGCAAACCCGCTGCAAAGGACGGAGGTCGAGCGGCAGCTTCGGCGTAAGTCAGAGGGGCGGTTGCTGGAACGACTTGGGGCGGCCTGGCGACCACTTGCGCGTAACTCAGGGTCGCAGGAGCCAGAGGCTGTGGGGGGTGGTAAGCAGGCATTACCTCCGCTATTTCCTGTTCAATCGCTCGACGGATGGGAGGGAGAAGGGTAGTAGGCGATTGTTTGAACAGTCGGTTGGTGGGCAAAGGGCAGGAGCGAGAACTGACGCGCGATTTCCTCACGGATGAAGGACTTTAGGTCTGCCATCAACGCCACTTGGTCACAACTGGCCTTTAAGCCAGCAAGCGTTGCAGATCGTGGTGGGGAGCATCGGGTCATCGAACGCTGCCGGCGAAGGCTCCTCGTAGCTCTGGCACAGTGTGATGACCTCAGCCACTGTGCCGGGGTTTTTGGCGAGCAGCATCGTGAAGGCATCATCGTCAATGCCTTTCATGATGTTCCGGATCTTGTCAGACTCGGACAGTGGTGATCAGATTTGTTGATAGGTCCAGGACGTCTTCAATATAGCTGGTGAATGACTCACCAGCCTCCTGAGCCCGTTCACGCAAGCACGTCCTCGGCTTGCAGCTTGCGAACAGCAGGGCGGCCGAAGACGTTGATGATTGCGGTCTTGAAATCGAACCAGGTGGCAAAATCGGACGCGTGGTTGTTATACCACAAACTGGCGACACCGGCAAGGTAAAACACCAAGTTGGTCAGCTTGCCGTCCTCGTCCCATTTGTTGGGGACGCTCCACGCGCTCGTAAATGGCGAGCCAGTCCTCCACGTCAGTGCCATCAGCGCCAGTGAAGATGGGTGGATCGCGGATTCTGGGGACACCGAGACAAGGGGGTGGCATTGGAGGAGGCGTTTGCTGAGAAGCGTCGTGGTACATAGTAGATGGCAGGGTACGTGATCGTAGCTCCAAAGGCATAGACAGAGATCGCAGCACCTCCACCAAATTGTTAAGGCGTTACTAGCCGGCAACGAGCGAGAATATAAAATGGCGACAGTCACAGCCAAGCACGGGCTCTCAGCGCGAACGGCGTCCTTGTTGGGTAGCCCCACTAGAAGGTACTCAAGAGTTCGACCCATTTCAGCGTTCGGAGGCTTCGCTACAATATATATATATATATATATATATATATATATATATATATATATATATATAATGATGGCGGCGGTCACTATAGGCCCTGTATAGAGGGAGTAGGAAAGATAATAATTAAAGGTTTGCAATTTTCCGCTATTTTTAATCGTGAAGAAAGAAGACTCTATAAGGAGGCACGGAAAAGAGAGCACCGCGTCGAGACTAGCGAATGACTACGTCTTCTTGACCTGATTTTTAGGGCGTAAAATGTCCGCTACTTTTACACCGGTGGAGCCATGCATATATGTGCAATGAGCTGACGAACAGACTGCATGCGGGGTGTGAGGCCAGTGAAGAGAACCTTACTACAAATGCGGCATCGTCGACCTTTCGGTACAGCTTCGGCCGCAGCTTGATGCGTCCCAAGTAGTTCACCAAGGAGAAGACGAGCAGGGATGCGAACACGGCGCAAATGCAGCCTCCCATCCACACGTCCAGTGCCTTCATGTACGACACCGGGGGCAGCTCCGAGCGCACGCCTCTTTCACTGCGCATAAATGAATGACGTCGCACCGAAATAACGCTGAACGTCAGAACGTTTCCGGCGAAAGTGCGTCATCGATTCACAGGCCACTTATGGTTTACAGAATTATTCAGATAAGAATTAAATGCTCGATCACATGCCCTAAAATATCGCCAGTTTATTTACCCGCATAACACAAATATATGATCGAGAAACTAGGTACCATGGCCCCCAAAGCACAGAAGAGAGAAGCATAAAACGTGACAAAGAGAGAGAGAGGGAGAGAAAGAGAGGAAGAAAGAAATAGAAGGAGCGAAAATATGGTAGTGCTTGCACAACGTCACGCAAGGGCCTTGAAAACAGCGCTGCTGCACTATTCTGAAATGTAGTCTACATGATTGCTTCTAGCCTATAGGTTGTTGCTGGCTTTACCTATAGGTGATGGGTAGGTTGTTTCAAGGTCCTTCTCAGCACAGAGAGGTTCGAGTTTGAAAGCAGTCACAGGTAAAAACAGGGATGCCCGAACTCCAGGGACCGAAAACTCGCGCTAAAAACGAGCATTCCCACAGTTTTGGCTACTGGGTCAACTCCCACGGTTTATTTTCTCAATTGCTGGCTGTGTCTAGAAACCTTGGTGTTTGCCGACCATTTCCTGCCTCTATCTCCTTAATGAGGAAGTGGTGAATAAGGGGGATTATGCTAATGTGTTGGGCACATGCCTGTCCATCATCGTGATAGTTATTTGTACACACCAAAGTTTATACGGCCAATTTGAACAGTTTCGCTGTGGTTAAAAGAGAGTGAGAGAGAGAGAAAAAAGAAAGAGAGATGGACAGAAAGATAGGAAGGCGGAGAAACAAATACACATAGATGGAAAGAGACAGACGTAGACTAAACAGGAAAATGATATATCTATGGATAGTATAGCAAGAGGTGGAAATAAGATAGAGGTAAGAGGGCAAGAAGGTGTACCAGCTAGGCTGGCCAAAAGCTCTTCTGTGTCTCATCCTTGCGTGACTTAGTGCGAGCTGTGCTAACTTTTTCTAAGTTACTTGCATGCCATCCGCCTGTCCCTTCAGTAATAGTAAGTCCTCCTACAACCACGTGCAATGAGAGACGGCGTAGAATCACTCGCCGGAGGCCTATGCCTCCGACGAGTGATTAGTACCTCAAGCTTAAATTACCTCGCGTGCATTTTGATCCAGAGTCGTTATTTCAGGGCAGCCTAATTCGCTACTGGTAATTGGCACACCGTTCGTCAAAGCGTCTACTCACTACTTCGATGGTTTTCTGTCGTATGGTCATAGATTTCTCGAACACAGGTTTTTTTTTTCCTTTCATGAGAACTCACAGTGTCCCCTTATGCTTCCACTTAAGACCCCGCAAAGGCATAAAAAAGCTTTTTTTTTTCGTATCAGCTTATGTATTAATGATGCCCCGCCACCCTACGAAAGCTTTCTACTCCTAACGTGCTTTTTCAGAGTCTCCAAGATCGGCGGCACCTCACTTGGTTTTTACAGTGACTCATGGACCTTGACGATGCTAAGATGCGATGTCATGAGTTCATGTGTCGCTGCGTTACGCTATGTCATCATGACATCGCAATTCTGGCTATCTGTGGCTCATAGTGACATGATATGTTGACGTCATCACGTAATAACTTTTTTTTCATCTCATCGTCCCCGAAACCACGGTACGCGAAACACCACCGAAGCCGGACACCGATGATTAAAATTCGAGACTAATAAGAATTAACCGCTTTCGTCTTAATAACATTATTAAGCACTCTGTACAGATCGTTAACCAGCGAAGCTCGAACTTGTGGCCACACGTGGTTGCAGACGACGCAGCCAAAGCAAATGTGCCACTTCAGAAACTCTCACCAAAATCGGGCTTCGGCCTTGGCGAACGCGTTCCTGCCGTTACAACGTTGTCGCTACTCGTCATACAACGGCGCTTCTTCGGCTCACCGTTGCCACGTGCATTTGCTCCTGCAGGCCGCCTAACACTCTAGACGTAGTTGCTGCTTTCCCTTCACAACCCGGTCGTGTTCATGTGCCAGGACAGCTGCGTCGGCCGGCGAACATGAATTCTCTCGCGAATCAGATGTCAGCGCTGTTTTTAAAAAGTTGTCTTCAGTTCGGGTGGTCCGTGAGTTTTACTTTCCTGAGACGCCTGACGGTTCATACACCCGTGAACCATCACGTGCTGTTTGTTTACATCTCTCCTTTCCTGTCGACCTGCTGGATGGCTTTGCTTGGCTGAGAGGTGACGCACGCGCGCACGGTGAGGGCGGAGCCGAAATACCGCCTTTTCTACACCCTGTTTTTCTATATCTCCTACACTATATTCTCACTGCCCATCCCTGTGCCACGCTGTTGAGTTGACCTCCACCGAGAGAGGCAGTTACGGTGCTGCTATTTTCATTTTTCCTTCTTTCAAGGCCACTCCATTGAACTGCTGCGCGCGTTCTCAGCGGCACGTCTACGAACGGAAGATGATGTCACTGACGACACTCCCAATTGGCGTGTGCGCTTGGGTGCGACGTAGAAACGACCGAACTGACGGAACAGCCAATGGAGACGTTTATCGTTTCATGTGGCGAACGGTTTTTCATTCCACCTAACCATATATAGCTGTCGTTGGTAAAAGTACTAAGCGCTACATTTTAAGCTCTCTGTTACATTGCCAGGTGTGAAAGACAATGTTTTTGAGGGCTATTTTGCTTGAGAGGCCATCCTCGTTAAGGAGAACGATATTAATTTTTTTCGCAATCACAGGGGCTACGGAAGTGTTCTGTAAATATAAATCAAGTTCACGGAGAATAAGGGAAATGATCTTGGTCTTCAGATCTTTTAGCTCATTCTTCTACAAGCTGACAATCTTATGACATTTGTATGCGCGGAGCTAACGCAAAAAGGCTCAAACACATATACTTATAAGCGTATACTGGCCATCGGCATAAAATTTGCGGCGCGCAAGTTCGGGACTGCGGTGAGAAATGCCTCAAACCTCGCTGAAGCAGATTTCTTTGTATGCACATTCAATGCCGTTTTTGAAGGTATTTAGTTCAGCTTGATTTTGATTGTTATACCGAATGGCTCATACGTTTGTGTGTTTGGTGCATATTCGCTGAAGTTGCTGCGAGCGTACAAAAAACAAAGGAAGTGTTGATTCTTCACAAAAAGCTCCATTCAATAACCGGCTGCAACGTGAAATGTCTTCTCTACTCCTTGCAGTAAAACGAAACAGCTCGGATCACGTACACACAAAATGTGAGCATTATTAGAGCGTTAGTGCCTCACGAACGTGCGCTTACGCGCTGCATCTATCTATTCGCTCCTTTTGTTTTCCTTATATGCGCTTCTTTAATTTGTTCTGGTGATTTTAGGTCGCCGGTTTTCCCTTAACTGCCGTGACCTCTAACACTTCAGAAACGGTGGCGAGCCCTTCAAAAGATTGGGCGCTTCTCCTGCCCTCTTTTTCAGTATACACACACTGAAGAAGGAGCCTTTAAATTCAATTTTTCCCTTTCTTTCGCGGTTCGCTTTGCCTGTTAATATGGAACGAGGAGTAACACGACATTACAGCAGCATCACATAACATACCGATCTTTAATCACTTTTAACCAACTGCGCTTATTTCTCATGTGCGAGAGCTACAGGCTTTGACAGGGGTATGAAGAAAATAAGGGTATTCTTGAGGGCACGTTGCTTTATTTGAGGAAACCTTGAAGAAAACCGGCTGATACTAAGCTATAGGACGGTTTCAGGTAAGTTCATTTATCTGTTGTAAGGTTATTGTTATATTTGCGGTTTAAGTTTGAATGGATAAGTGTACAAAAAGATGGCTTGCTGCTGGCGGGGACCGAACATGCCACCTTCATCGTAGGTTTGGTGCCTGCCAGCAGTAAGTTTTCTTTTTGGCTTTCATTCTGATCGAGGTACACTTTGAATACATTGTGCCTAGTTTATCATAAGGGAAATTGCCCTAATGAAGTTTTTTCAGCTAGTCTGTTTTATTTAGACGAGAGCGCTCTAAGCTCCAGCCTTCGAAAAGCACAGAGAGAGTCATAAACGATGCACCCTGCGGGACAGAAAACGAGAACAAGACCAAACAGGGACAAGCTCAGACTACCGAGTGGAAGTTACTTTTCAAATAGCACACAAATATCACTGAAGCAGGAAAAAAAAAGTTAGCTGTTGAAAACAATAAAGACAAACATTTTTTACACCCGATACACGAAGGAGAATAGCACTCATTGGTCATTTGCGCCTTTCATTATATGAGAGCAATGAATAAAGAAAACGAGCAAACCATCTACTGTATACAGCAATATCTATAGCCGCAGTGTATAATTTATCTGTGTATTAGAGCGACCACTACATAAAAATTAGGGGACCATAAGGGTTCGCTTCAGGGGTTGACCGTGGTAGCGATATCCTGTTCCTAATGCGTACCCCAAACAGTTTGTACATGAAAAATTTTCGAACATGCTATGCACCCACTACGTGTACTACAGAAAAGGCGCAGTAGCGTGTGCGCCGTTTGTATTGGGTGGCTGGCTTTAAACCACGGAGCTATTATGATAATCACGTGTTCTGACGCCCGCAGTCAATGGGCACTAGTACCACGCATTTTTATTGCACAATTTCATGTTGCATTGTGCAGCATGTGTACAGGACGAGTGTGTTTGTAAAACATGAACGCTACTTTCACTGCATTTGTAAGCAGAAGAAATTCTTTTCATTGTATTCACAAGCAGAGGTGTGGCTGAGTGATTGAACATCCGCTTGACATGCAATCAAACAGTATTACATCCCCACTCGGACCCAAACGACCCTGGTTTGGTACCCGCTTTGACCCACGATTTCTTCATTTACTTTATTTGCATCGTTCTTGATTCTTTGGTCATGCATCAGATGATGATTTTTCGCTCACAAGCAACGACACGGACGCCGGATTTTCTGCGAAAGGAGTTCTTTAACGCTATCGCATTAAAACACATGGCTGCTATAAAATTGTGAAGCAT